TGTGCAGATGGTTCACACCTGTGTGAATCGCGAAGGTTGGTTGGAAGTAAAACGATAAAGATTGAAAAGGTAAATGGGTGGAGGGAGCAAAGCGTGGTCGTGGAGCGAAAAGAGGCTTAGGGGAGGGTGGAGCAGGGTATTTACCTCGGCACGATTATAGCCAGAGATTTTGCAAAAGCTTTCGTTGCAATAGACAATAGGGAAGTCGACGATCTGAGCGTTCGCCAGGAGAAAACTGCTGTCAGCTGTGAACAGAGAAAAAATGAATGTTTTAATTTTCATCTAATAATAACATATTTAACGTATTAAACATCACTCGATATCAATTTTTACATTTTTAACATAGATTAAAGAAAAATTCTCTATCGTGAAAAATGATATAAAATATTTCTTACATAATTTAATTGAATAAATCCAAAATTGATGCTCTCAAAAATTTATTTTAAAGAATTATAAAAATAATAAAATAAATAAATAAATAAATAAAGAACATGCACGCTGCATTTTATAACTGCGTAACGATCAAAATATTTTAATTAATGCGGTAAATTCTTTGTAAAATAATATTCATTTATACTCGCTCGGTAATAAAGTCGCAATAACAACGATGATTTTCCGCATAACCGGTTTCCATATTCTGTGGAAATTCCAACCTCTTCAGCCCTCTCGCACGGTCAGGTTTTCTCATCCACTTATTCGTTCGCGGCACACGTAACGCATTAACGAGCTTTATACCCTTATTCGAGTTTCATCGAGCCGAGGGGAAAAAAAAAAAAGAAAGAAAGAAAAAGAAAGGGAAAAAAAATCGTTATCGATCGAGTATCTCCGTATTGCTCGATCGACCTTCCATTTCGAATTCCTTCGGGATTCCTACGTATCTACGTATATTCTTCAATTTCGAGAATCGAATCTAAATCTCGAGCGAGTTTGCAAAGAAAAAATTGGAAACTTTCATTTTTTCCCCTAGATAATTTTTCGAAAATGGAAGAGAAATTGGAAGAGAAGTATAGGGAATTTTTGCTTTTCCCCTAGAATGGTGGATTCCGAAAATTTTTAAGAAAATTTCATTTTTTTTCTGGAGAATTTTTTAAAAATGGAATCTTTCCAAATTCCAATTCTCGATAACGAGATTTTCTCCTAGAAATTTAGATAAAAAATTTCCAGTGATGGAGCATCAGTCTGTTATTGGAATTAAAATTTCGAGGATAATTTCTAGACAAAATTTCACTTTTTCACGGACGGGAAAGAATTTTCCAAGAATCATCGAAATCATCGATTCTCGACAATGTAGATTTTTAGGGAAATTTTACTTTTCTCTAGAAACTCTGGCTAAATTTCCAAATAATGGAATATTCTATCGTCGAAACTAAATTAATTAAAAAAAACCGTTTATTTCTAGAATTATCTAGGAAATTCTCCTAGATAATTTTCCAAAAGTCATCAAAATCAATTTTTCTAGGGAAATTTCTAGATATATTTCCAATATTGAAATATCGTTTTATCATCGAAGCTCAAGAGCGACAATTGGAGGGGAGGAAAAATAGGAAATTTTTATTTTTCCGCCGAAAAACTTGGATAAATTTCCGAAAATAGAATATCGTTTGATCGTCCAGCTGTTTCTTTATTAAAACAGAATGGCTGTGTTTTTCCATCTGTTTGTTCGTGTACATTCGCGAACCAGACCGACTGTGTTTTCCGTTACGTTTTCCTTTATTCTTCGCGTCATTGAACGCTTTAGCCATGATTCGATTTAAAAAAAAAAAATGTTCTCTTTCATAAACCGTGACCCGCATCTTCGAAAATAATAATCCATCTTTAATATTCTTAATATCGATTTTTCTCGATGAACAATCCTTTCGAACCAACCAAATTTCCAAACTTTTTCTTTCACTTTTCATCAATTTGAATCTTCTAAAAAAAAAAAAAAAAAAA